TCTTAGTAGAGGTTAAAATTAGAGATATGAATAGAACAGGGCACGCAGGAAATCCAGGAAGCCATAGGAATGATAACACCACTTTTAAAAGGTTATATGATAGAACACTAAGGATAGTCAATATTTAATGGCAAGATTAAAATACAGGAACCTACAAGGAGTAAGAGAAACAGCAAGAAAAATGGAAGAAGGAAATTGAGAGACTATTTCAGGAGGAAATCAGGAGAGTATCTCAAGATGGAGGAAGCAGACAATGGAATTGTGTACTGTTGTCAAGTATGTAACTAAGGCTGTATTCTTCATCAATATGTAAAATTTGAGAAAAGGGATTTGTCCTAAACTTCATAATCTGTCTCTTCCCTCACTGTTAATACCCATCATGATGCCTTACATGGAGAAATTTTGTAAATTGCATTTAGTAAAGAAAAGAATAAATACATTTTGGTGAACCTAATACTTAATAGAGCCAAAGGTACCTTAATACATTCAGTAAGGAGAAAGCTATATGACCTCCAAACAGGATTACATTAAGTAAAAGCATTAAAGAAACAAAACAACAACAACAACAACAACAAAACAGTTGAAAGAAACATCTATGGTTGGACTGGCCATGATTTAAAACATCATGTTGTCCTCATAAAAGAAATAAATACTGTTTACTCACACTGATTATGCTTCTTGGATTCAATGTGAAGTTATTACCTACTTGGCAAAGAAAGAACTAAAAAAAAATTTCAAATCTTTAAAGAATCACATGAAGATGAAAGTTTGAAAAATAATAAAAAGCATTATAATTTAATATACTCTAAGTGACTAAGACAGTATTCTTGCTTGAATATTTATATGAAAGTACAGAATAGTGTCATAGTATTAACTTTGAGATTGATATATTCTCAACATGCCTTACTTTAATCTAGTATGAAACTGATTACTCTATCTAAATAAACTCACATTGTCAGTCTATACCCCCGGCTAGGGACAATGAATGTAGCATTTTATAATGCTTTGAAAATACACTTATATTCCCTAAAGTCAAGTCTTATATATTCTATTTCCAGGATTATGAGGAACATAAAAAACTCTGTTTTTTCCATATACTTTATATTTTTACTAGTAAACTTATAGACAAAGTTATGGTCCATATAGATACTTATACATTTTTAACCCTTAATTTCATGTCCTTTTTCTTTATCTTTTTCTTCCTTCTTACTTACTTTTAATTAATTATCCTAATTTATTTAATATTATTGAAAGCTTACTCAAATCCTTTCTGAAACAATGAATAGATATTAACAAATAGAGGAATTAATTACTAAGATCCTTCATAATATTAGCTATTCCAATCACCTCTCCTATCAGCTTTCCCTTTTCAAAAAAGATAAAGCTAATGTATTTTTAGTTTGTCATCATCCAACCCATGTATGTCCCTGAACAGTTCATTTTAGTTGCTAAGGGGAAGAATGGAGTTTTAAAAGATAATTTGGGGGTAAAGAGATACAACGATAGCTGATATAGGTAGGAGAAATGGATTAAAAGTACAGATTTTGAAAGTCATATGATGATGGTCTAGGAATTCCCAACGCCATGTCTAACAAATTCAATAAAATTATTAAATATATTATTAACTATGTATTAAATTATAAAATAATTTAAATTACTTTAAAATTGCTTTCATTGCTGCCCTAGGTTCCTCTGATTATATCGCTGTTCTGTCACATCATAAAGCATGTGGATCATGTCTTTCCAGACAGATTATATGGACCTAACAGAAAATAATTTTCAGAAAGTATGACACAGATGGGTGTAAGGGATGGGGGTGCTCATATCATGACTTGCATGAAGAATTCAGAAAGGCCAAGGAAAGAATCAAAGATATCGCAGGAGAGAAAACTACATTCCTAAAGGTCTAAAGTTGAGAATGAACAACAAATTAAAGATCAGGGAATAATAAACAGTCTTAAGGATTTGTGAGGAGACCAACTTAACAGGAGCAGAAAAAGTTGTTGATTGTGCCAGGAAAGACGGCAGGAAAAAGTGTGGGTGAAACAGAAGCTGCTCCAGGATTCTAAGGAGGAAAGGGACATAATGAAAACAGTATTTTAGACATTTTAAATAATGGTAAAATGGACTAAGTTCATTAAAATAGGCTGGAGCCAAAGAGTGGTCCTAAGAGAACTTTGGAGGGAGAATCAAGTGAACATGATAGAAGACTGGGACTAGGCAAAGAAAAAGCTCAGGAGATTTTATCATAGAAGCATTTAAGAACAATCACACTCTTAACAGAGAAGGAGGGAGAACAAGGCAAGAGGGGAAGGAAAAATAGTGGAGGACATCATGCTGGGTTTCCATTAGTACAGTGGACCATTCAAGAAATATGGGCAGCTGGACATAATCATAAAGTTGGAGAAACAGATCTAGAAATGCAAAAGTAAAGTCATCTACACAGAGGTTGTAGCCTACGCCATGTGAACAAAGGAACAATCAAAGAAAATGAGTTTTCCTTTTACTTTCTTTAAAACTTATCTTTAACTTAATAAAATTATATTGTACTCATTCTAAGAAATTTGGAAAATACAAATGCAAATTAATATTACTTGCAAGCCATTAGCCAGCTATAGATGCTGTACTATAAGCTCTTTCAATATTGTTTTTTATATATTTTTGTAAGGTCCTATATATGCTAGTCTAGCATAGGTCAGACCTTCTCAATTGTGCCTACTTCCAGTAAATGCTCCTTCCCTGGAAAAGAAGGATTATCTCATCTAGGAAGTTTGGGAACTCCACTTTAAGATAAACACTAGTGTGTCAAGGGCTGTGCAATGTTCTACTGTAAAAATGAGACTTAGTGAGTAACTGACAATCTTATTTCTGCGGGGGAGTGATTTTTCTTGCACATCTCTTGGTATCACCTTGAAGTGTCTTCTCTTTGAAAGGTGGAGATGCACTTGTCAAGTGCTGGAACTTTAGAATGGAATGGGCTAAGTTAGGGACTGGACAACCCAGCTTTGTTCTCTTCAGAAAGTTGTTACCTGCAAATAACCTTTCTTTTCATAAAAAAAAAGCACGTAAGTACTTATCCTATAAAATGTCACAGAGGGATAAAACAGATAAAGTACATAAAACACTTGAAATCATGTTTGTTATACACCATTTCAAAAACTGGGTTGACTTGGATGATTTCATATTTATAATCTGATTTCCTCCTTAATTATAAATCACAATGATTTCCCTATGTTATTATTTTTCAAAACCAACCCTTTTATTACATATATATTAATTTTGTCATTATGTATACCCTATAACTCATTTGTCCAACAATATACTACAGAAAATTTATTTAAATTTTTTAAAATTTACAAATAATGTTTGATTGGACATATTTACATATAAAACTTAGCCAATATTCTCTGGTTAATTCATTATAATTGGTTCCTAGAAATGAAATTGCTGAATAAAGAGGCAAAATTATTCTAGAGTTTTTGATACATGTTACTAAATTGCTCTCCAGAAAGTTTGAATCAAACTTCGTTTTCACTATGGGCTGAAAAGTCATCCCCATGTTCTAATCTTTCTGTCAGGATAATAGTGGAGATTGTTTGCTAAGTAAAAGCAGAAAGAAACATCTTGTTTCATTTACACTTGGCTTTATTTATGAAAAAGAGAAAGAAGTTAAATATAATAATCAACTATTTGAAAAATAAACTAATTTCCTGCTGCCTTCCCAGGCCTCTAGCTGGCTGAACTGACAAGGTCTGGAGGTGGAAATCAGAGAGAGCTACTCCCAAAGAGGGAGAATACCCCTGGTTCCAGATATAAGACAAAAGCAGGCGATAAAAAAGATAAAATGTGATGGTAATGTGGAGAACAAATATGTTTAGAAGTTTAGGAACTCATCAAAAGGATGCAGATTGTTTACTTAATTTATACTATAAAATACCCAGTTTTTTTAATTTGTTATTTTTGCAGTAATGAGTACTATGGAGTTAGCTATTTAATTCCTAAGGACACAAAAGTATATTTACATGCAAGAAGACAAGGTATTGAGTTGGTAGTGTATTGAGGGCATTCCATAGAAATCAATCACAAGGAATTAATCAGACATGCTGACAAAGTTTTATGTATAAGCAATACACTGAGGTCCTTGAAACTAGGGTCTATGTCTCACTAATCCTGGATCCTCCATTGGCTATATGAAGACAGGCACATACAAGCAAGCAGTGTATTCTTGTGGTGTCTATGGAGACCTTTGTGAATGAACTTTCCATACTTTCTATTTATGGGGGAGAGACTCTCATTTCCTAAAAGACAGAGATACAGCCAGTCAACTTAGATAGTAAAATCATCGATAATGTATTTCCAAGATGAATGAAGAATGCATGGAAATTAACAACATCTCCTTCAGCTATGCATGATATTTTTATTCTCAGATACCAAGCAAAGGCATTTTCCAATGACATATTCCACAAAGAATCAAACTGCCATTCTCTATAATGCCACAAAATGTCATCAGATTACTCTGGAAGAACATTTCAAACTTTAAATGATTTTTCTTGTTTTTAAATGCTGTTAATTAAATAATAATAGTGAAAGACCCTATTCATAACTATAAAAGTTACTCCTCTCTCCACTTCTAAGGCTCTGAGTTAAGTTACATGGATTATCCACTTTTCCTGTCTATATCTGATAATTAACTGAAGAACTGTCAAATCCCCCCCATCATAGATCAAGAAGGATGAATTTTTAAATGGCTAGGCAATTAGCTAAAATAGAACTAAATTTCAAAAATTCACTGTTTTCCATTTTATCACTAAAGCAGCAAGTGGAATTATTATGTGCCTTAGATTCTTGAGCTAAAAAATCATACTCTTTACATACTTGTCTATTGTGAAAAATTATAAATTTGTTTTATAAGATATATGTATAGCTGTGAATCCAAGTTTCTACTAAATTTTAAAGGGAATCATAGAATTATAGATAGTATGCCATTTACAGTTTCTTACCTGAGTAAAGAAGGGTAGAAATGTGATATGCAAGAAACCCAATGCAATGGTTGGTTGAAAATTGATTTCAAGGAATCTGAAGCAGACTCATCCATGCCATGCTGAAACGTTCTAGGGAAACACAAGCAGTTATATTCAAATATTCAGAAAACATTAACTATGAAGATGAATGAAGCAACTTTTGATTTTTCTTAATATTCACTAATTGATTAAAAAATTAGTTGTAGATGGACACGATATATTTTATTTATTTTTATGTGGCATTGAGGATCAAACCCAGTGCCTCACGCATGCAAGGCAAGTACTCTACCACTGAGCTACAACCCCAGCCCATAATAAACGACTTTTATGCAAAATAGCATTGCAATAGAATGAACAAGGCACCCATTTCATCCTCTTGGGATTTTGTCAATAGGTGATTCAGGAATCATCAGGTAGACAAGTCAGGAGAGCCAGGAAAAGTATGACTGAGATTTGGATCTTTAAGAACCTCAATTTAACAATTTTTACATTTGGGAAAGGTATAACAATTATCATTTAAGAGTTTTTAAAAACACACTATGAAATTTGTTAAATTAAATGTGCAATGAAGGTACACAAACACTACCTATGTCTTTCTTGAGTTGTAGTCTTATATCCCATTGGGTCTTTTCAACTTATTTTTAATAAATTATAATATTTAATCATATTTTCTTCATTAATATAAAACTGCTTAACAGTAGGTACCTCTTTTTAATCTTTATAAGTACTAAACAATATTTGAAACTTTATAATTAATTTTGCACATTCTTAAGGATCTAGAGAGAGACTGTAAAATAACTTATTTTACATTACTGTGATATAAAAATTGGAATAGTTTGGCCACAATATCTGATCTATAACCACTTTTTGGAAGTGACTACAACATTTTTCTAGGTTAGCTCAAATTCAAGTACAAATCTTGACATAATAAGAAATAATTTGTTACATAACATCCTTAGTACATAACCTGGCTAATAAAATTTTTATAATAATAAACTATATTTGCCCATAGAGTTAGGAGTAGTGAGTGAAAAAATTTTAGAAATGGAATTATGTGAAGTGGTGACATCTACCTGTATAGTACAGAAGCAACAGTGTCTTTTTGACTCTCAATGATAAAAACAGAATAGAATTCCATTTTGAAAACCAATCCACATCTTTTTACTCCACATCTTGCTTCTGGTATGCTCATATCTTCCCAATTTGATCCTTCTCTCACCTTGTGGTCTTGGGAGTTTTTTTTAGAAATTTAATATATCATCTCCTCCTTGAATGCCATTTTCCCCCCAATAAATTTCAGATCAGAAAAAAAATTTAATAGGCTTCAAAGTCAGGCTGTGATGTTTATATTCCAAGCAATCCACTGTGTGAGTTGGAAAGGTAATCAGAAGCTAGGTAAGGTGCCAGGATATGGTTTTCCATATACCAGCATGTAGGAATCATTGAAGAGTTTATAATGGGGGAGTGATGCCAGCAGTTTCACTTCTTAAAAAAATCAATTCCATAGTAGTGAGAACAGTGAATTGGAGGGGATCAAGATAATATTGCACTAGACTAATCAGAAGAGAAAAACAGCTTAGATCAAGTAAGAGACAGAGGGCATAGTAAGTAATAGGCAAATATATATATATATATATATATATATATATATATATATATATATATATATATATATATAAAGTTAACTTAATAGAATGAACAATATCCATCTCCTAATGACCATAGGGTGGGGATGGCAGGAAAGTGAAGATAGAAAGTAAAAGTTAAGGGAAAGGGAGTAGCCTAGATTATCTCACAGGCAGTTTACCTAATTTGAGATATGTTGAGGGGGCTGCATATACTGGAAATATACCCAAAGACAGCCATCCAATAGTAACTTGGATTTACTGGTCTAGCATATACAAGAGCTATTCAGTTTGAATATCTTGATGTAGAAGTCATCACATAATGGTGAAGTCATGTGAATGAATGAATTCAACCAAAGAAAGAATGTAATAGGAAAAGATTTTCAAAGACAGATGTCTGGAACACATCAACATTTAAAGAGTGAGATGAGAAAAAGAACATCTCAAATGAAACCAAGAAGGAACAATGAGAGAAGTAAGCAAATAGCCAGGAAAAAATTATGCTAGGGAAAGCAAGAAAAAGGATAATAGTGCCAAAAACTGCAGAGAGCATAAAACAAAGAAAGAACCTACTTCAGTTTAGCAACTGGGTACATGTAGATGATCTTGCTTCTGTTTGTTTAGCATGATGACAGCCAGAAGTCAAACTGAGTATGTTGAGTGAATGGTAGGTACAAAAGAGGAGACAATGTGAACTGTTTTAGGAACAAAACATAATGATAAAGCAAGGAAAAAAACATTTTAAAAGACTAAGGACATGGAATACAAGGTAAATGTTATCAAGAGCTCAGGTGAAAAGATTTTCTATAGTTGGGAAAAGAGACAACATTGATCAGAAAGCAGTCAAGGGGTTGGGAGGCGAATAAGGATAGAAGAATGGAGTGAGCAATCTTAAAAATTAAAAAAGGAATGAATGTGAGATGGAGATGTAGCTCTGTGGCATAATTCTTGCCTAGGATGTATGATGCCCCAGGTTCAATATCCACTATCACAATTTAAAAAAAAAAAACAATGGATGTGAGGAGCTAAACTGTATTCATGATGGTCTGAATTCTCTTAGAGAAGTACAGGGGCGAAGCCATCTGCTAACAAACAGTAAGATGGTGCAAGTTCAGGGGTTGGCCAAAGGAGAGAAGGATGGAAGAAGGAGTTGCCCAGAGAGTGAACAAAGGATGGGGTTGGGTTGTAAGTAGGCACAAAAGGATTGCTGAGTGACATTCTCTAGCAGTGTATCAGAGTCCAGATAGGCCACTAAGTGTGGGTGCAGGGAAGGGATGTGCAACAGCTGGTACACTAGGAAGAGGAGAATGCTGTTAGGAGGAAGCAGAAGAGATGCAGAAAGGGTCTGGAGAGAAATGCAGTCTCAAAAGATGTGAAAGACTGAGGGTAACAGATGGGTCAAGAGATGAATGATGAATGAGCATAGCAGAAAGGACAGAAGGAGATGAACAAAGACACTTAGTATCATGGCCTACGCCAAATTCTTTGAGCCCTTTGCATAAATACCTATTTTTCCGATTATGTGGACATTTCTCCCAGAATACCTTATCTAGAATGCTCTCTGTGTCATAGTCAGCTAGCTCCACAGATTGCTCCACCTCAGAACCTTCTCTTAAGTCTCCTCTGACCACTGTGTCTAAAACATATCCCTTCTCTTCACCTCCTGTGCTTTGTTTCTCCCTCGGACTGTACTTCTAATCCTTTAACATTTATCATTATTATTGTTTTGTTGTTGTTATTTTTCATCTGCTCCATACCCCAAGGATAGGGACACTGAAGGTTATTTGTAGATAGTGTATGGGTACATATAGGAGCAATGGAGCCAGACAGCCTCAGTTTGCATCTTGGGTATGCTTTTTATTGGAGATATGGTGTTCAGCAATTTATTTAGTTTCAGTTTTCTTATTTGCAAAAGAGGGATTGGGTCAGTGTGAGGAGTTGGTGAGATAATGCATATGAAAGATTTAGCCAAGTGCCTGATATAGGACAAGGGCTCAGTATAACAGTTGTAAGTAGTTCTTAAGAAGGTTTTATGACTATCTGAAAACTGACATGGAATTTCTAATAGACTAAATGGTTGCCTAGTTACAGTTTTATACTGAAGACTAGAAAAAATAATGTAGGATCTAAAAATAATGGAATGGTTAATTGGTGCCAAAATTTCTAAGACTTTTACAAGGACATTTCTGCCAGAACCAGAACCTAAACTCTTTACTCCACTGACAGTTGCTCAGTCATACTGGTAATAGTAAGGTTATTTGGCTATAAGAGATATTATGGCAGATGTTTATGGTCTCAGAGGGGGAGGGATCTGTATGAGCATTTAATTCCACAGCAAGATCCCAAATTAGTTTCATTATTCTGGAGAGTATAACAGGGTGAAAATTGGCCCAGAAGCCTCAATGGGGGAATGAAATTATGAGCTAGCTATTAGATAACCTCTAATGATGTTTTGGTATACAGTTAAAAGAGAGGATGCTCTGAATAATTCATAGCAAAAAATAACAATTGTATGAGCCATAGCATTATATTTTCCACAAGCACATAAAGGAATTTTGATATAGCAAATTTAAATACTTTAAAAATAAGTAATTGTCTATAGGTTGAAGCAAAATACATTTCTTCTCATTCCTAAATCAGGCTGTAAAATAGATTTAGCTTAGGGGGAAAAAAAGTGAATTTGGGAAATTTCTTGCCTTTGTCCTTTCTCCAACATTAGTGAGCCATACACTTTCCCTCTCATTAACACCACCTGCCTCTGGCTGACCATACCATAGTGCTGCCTCACTTTCTATTTTAGATTCCTTTTGTTGTTGTTGTTGTTTCTGATGTATGCTACTTTTCCCTTAACAAAACTGATTAGCTTCTTGAGCTTATGTAGCCAGCTGCTGGGATGAAATAAATCCAAGGCATATCAAAAGTGAGAACAACTAAAAGCTAAAAAGAGTTAGCTGGGTTTTATGCCTTTCTTGTGCCACTCTTGGCTGCCCTCCCAAGAGAATTGGTTCTCCTATGAGGTTAATGGAATAAGCCCCCATGAAGGAATTAAGTAGCCCAAGGATATAAGCTCTAGGGGCGGTAGAGGTGTGAGGGGTGGGTTTCTTGTTTCATCTGTGCATATCAAAGTTACTGGGTGATAAGAAAAAATACCAAGAGAAGACTACAACCTTAGAAGGAGAATTGGTAGGAGAAAGCACCAAAAATTGAGGATATGTAAGTCTTTTTGATAGCCCTAAAATAAAAAGCCATTATGAATATGTAGAAATAATCAAATTCAATCTACTTTAAGATTTAAACAGAATCCTAAGTCACTTCTTTGCTTTAAAAACAAAAAACAAACAAACAAACAAAAAGTGCTACCTCAGGGGCCATAAATTTGTTGCTTAAATGTCACTGAGAGATATCTGGTAAGATTGGAGTAAATTATGGTTCCCTACATTTCTCATGATCCCTAGCTTGAATTTTTCATAACAAAAATCACTCTCTGAGGTTAGAAAATGATGACTTTTAAATTAGACAATGGCACAGTGCTGCTTGGTCTATTGTTGAGCCACAGTAAATATGTGGTAGGGAAGAAAAAAGAAAGAATAAATGGAAGGTATTGCCAGAACATGCTTAGTGGAATGGAAGATGAATTTGAGGGGCCATCTATGAAGAGCACACAGCCACTGGGGAAGGGGGAGAACAGGACAATGGTGGAGAGAAAATAAGACTGGACCTCAGGGTACAGCAGGAACCAACCAGTAAAAGGCTAAGGTGCAAATCAACTCCAAAATTAACGACTGGTCCTTTCTCAGTGTTTTACATATTAGGACCACATATAAAGCTTTTTGATTTTATGTGTTTTTTTAAAAAAGTTATTTCTGCTTAAAAATAATATTTAAAGGGAGGCAAATAAAAGGACTTTCCTCCTTCTAAACAAAAATGGAAAGAAATATCATTTAATGGACTATTTTGCTTTCTGACAGACTATTTTTAATATTTTAAAAATTTTATTTCCATTAAATCTATATAAATTTTAACTGCTTTATTAAGACATATAATTCACATGCCTAAAAATTAATATATTCAAAGTATACAATTAAATGGTCCCTACTGTAATCACAGCTGCATAACTACATCACTATCTAATTTTAATTTTTTTTCTTATCCCTAAAAGAAGCTTTATGCTCATTAGCAGTCACTCTCCATTTTCCTTTTCCCTCAGCTCCTAGCAACCAGTGATCTGTTTTCTTTCTCTATGGATATGCCTCTTCTGAATTTTTCTAATAAACATACCCAAACAGTAAGGGTTCTCTTGTGTCAGGCTTTTTTCACATAGCGTAATGTTTTTAAGGTTCATTCCTAGTAAAGCACATATTAATAATCCTGCTTTTTTATTGCTGAATAATATTGCACTGAATGCATATGCCACATTTTCTTTATCCATTTACCAGTTCATGGGTATTTGGTTTGCTTCTACTTTGTGCTATCATGAAAAATGCTTCTATGAATCTTTGTGAAGACGCATTTCCATTGCTGGGTCATAAGATGATGTGCTCAACATTTTACATAATCATACTTCATGCTTCACAGTTGAGGAACTTCCTGTTTTCCAAATGATATCGGTCATTCTTGAGATATGAAAAACAAAGTTTTAGCCTAAAATATTTTGGTTTTTGAGGGACAGTGAATTAGTTGCAAAGCAAAATGTAACAAAACAAAGTTTAAGACCATAATCTCAAAAGACCTAATATTAATTTGAAATTGAGTTATGGACATGGCATTGAAATACCTTGGAATTCATTGATGTAAAATCTTATAAGTGCTTCCACGGGTAAGACAAGATGAGTCTACTATTCCTTGGCTAATTGAGCAATATCCTAACGTACTTCTGATGAGCTGAGCCTTTGACTGGTAGTTTGGGACTTTTACTGGAATCTTACTCTTCTGTGTTATTTAATGTTGGAATAAACAACTTTCAGGATTTCTGATATGATACATCAAAATATTTCAGAAATATAAAAATTTATTTAATTTTAACATTAAAAATTTTATCAGACTTTGCTAAATTACTAAGGAGAGATATTATATCTTTCTTACTCTTATATCCCTTGTGCTTAATCATAGAGGCAACACGATTGAATTGAAATCAAATTGCATTTACCTAGAACTTCAGGAATTAATTTGGGGTGTGAGTGCTGGAAATTGAACTCATGACCTTGGATATACCACTGAGTCACACCCCCAAATCCCTCTAGGAATTAATATTTAACTTGCTATATACAAGCTAAAACTAACAGTCTATGCAAGCAAGTGCAGCAAGGAAACCACTAACTGGCTATGTGGATATGCATGGGAGGATGCTTCTGAATGCAGTTTGTTGACAGATTTCCTCTGTCAACAAAAAGCAAAATATATATCAAAGATTAGAATATTCTAGAAAAACAATTTAAATTCATATGAAAGGATTTTTTGGAATAAACGAATATTTAAAAGGAATTAAAGTGCATCTAGATTTTTGAAAGCAATATAGCTTTCTATGTTTCACATTAGAAAAATCCAGAGGCAATGGTTGATATAAAATGTTATAAATATAATCCTGATTGAAATTAGCAATTTAAATTTGCTGAATGAGATTACAGTGTAGTATCTGATGCACAAATCAGAGATTTGAGTACTTGCATAGTTGTTAGAAAATGTATCAAAAGGTCTTAGGTTAACAATAATGAGTGTACATATTATATTATTATTATTATTATTAAAGTATGCAATCTTTGATAATAATTTATTTGTTTTACAAATGCATTGGGGGTCATAGCAGCTCAATTCACAATAGCAAGACTTTGGAACCAACCCAGATGCCCTTCAATAGACGAATGGATTAAAAAAATGTGGCATTTATACACAATGGAGTATTACTCTGCATTAAAAAATGACAAAATCATAGAATTTGCAGGGAAATGGATGGCACTAGAGCAGATTATGCTAAGTGAAGCTAGCCAATCCCTAAAAAGCAAATGCCAAATGTCTCCTTTGATATAAGGAGAGTAACTAAGAACAGAGTAGGGACGAAGAGCATGAGAAGAAGATTAACATTAAACAGAGATGAGAGGTGGGAGGGAAAGGGAGAGAAAAGGGAAATTGCATGGAAATGGAAGGAGACCCTCAGGGTTATACAAAAGAACATACAAGAGGAAATGAGGGGAAAGGGAAAAATAATACAAGGGGGAGAAATGAAGGTCAATAGAGGGGGTAGAGAGAGAAGAGGGGTGGGGAGGGGAGGGGAGGGGGGATAGTAGAGGATAGGAAAGGTAGCAGAACATGACAGTCACTAGTATGGCAATATGTAAATCCATGGATGTGTAATTGATGTGATTCTGCAATCTGTATATGGGCTAAAAATGGGAGTTCATAACCCACTTGAAGCAAAGTGTGAAAGATGATATATCAAGAACTATGTAATGTTTTGAAAAACCAACAATAAAAAAAAATTAAAAAAAAAACAAAAAAAAAAACAAATGCATTGGGGGTTAAAATTTTTCAATTCATCTGTGACAAAGCATGAAATTCAATATTGCTCACCATGACAAATCCATGAAATTTGTCAACTTTGTTCCTGATTTTCACAGGGCCTTCCTCTTAGATGAAATGACCCATTGAACCGAGAGCATAGCAATTTTTTCATCTATGGTAAATCAGTTTAGTTTGCCAGGATTTACTATGGGCCTCAGACTTAAGCTTTTTATGATTATGAAGCATTATGTATATAATCTCAACCTTATGGAGATTTATCTCACTGTTTCTTCCCGTTTCTGAAAGAATTATCCATTTTTAAAGTTAGTTCTCCACCTGGATTGCCTAGAAGAAACAACCTGTACACAATGGCTTTGTCGACAGTGAAAGAGTAGGTGAAAATTATAGGAAAATTGCAATCAAAGTTGTTAATTACTCTTAGAATATCTGACACTAAAGTCTAAAATTTATTGAAAATAAAGATTTGTATGTCACTCTTACCAGAATGTTATAGGAAGGAACACTTTACCTTGTTTAGCCTAAGAAATAGAAATATTATATAAATTTTTTACTATCTAACTGGTAACGTACAATTATTTAGTCTTTTATTATAAAAGTGACAATTTTGGAAGAGGAATTAAATAAAATATTAATATTTTAATTGTAAAATCTACTCAAACCTCTACTATAATATTACAAACTTGAATCAAATTAACTAGAAGTTAAAAGTAGTTCGAAAGTTTTCTCTAAATCTTGTTTAGCTAAGTAAAATATTTAAATGTTTTTTCCATTTAATTACTCATTTCTATTTCCACTTGCCATTATCATTTAAGACACTAAAGCCTAATATTAAAAGTACAAATCTAGCCAGATATAGAAGTGCACATCTGTAATCAAACTACATGGGTGGCTGAGGTAGGAGGCTGAGGCTTGAGTCCAGCCTGGGTAACTTAATGAGATCCTATCTCATAATAAAGCAAAAATGTGGCTGGGGATGTGGCTCAGTGGTAGAGTATCCCTGGGTTCAATCCCCAGTACTAGAGGGAAGAAAAAAGCACTTCTATAGTAGATTTATTGAAAGTATGCAACCTTTAGGTCTCTTTCAGAATTGGGCATATTTTAGAACAATTTTCTAAAATTTATTTTTTATTAGAGCAAATTATGTAAAATTAAAACATTTTTTATATGTTGATAGACCTTTATTTTTTTATTTACTTATATGTGGTACTGAGAATCAAACTCAGTGCCTCACACATGCCAGGCAAGTATGCTACAGCTGAGCCTCAGCTCCAAACTATAACATATTGTTAAGGTGAGCCAAAAGCAACTAGATATGATTTTCTTTTTCACAGAATATCAAGTAATGACTAAATAATCGACCCATTAAAATAAGTCAAAAAGTAAAGCTTAAAATGCTCCAACTACATTGGAAACTTATCAACTGAATGAGATTGACCAATAAATGGAGACAGATACAATACATATTGGGAGATTAAATTAGTTTGAGAATCAAGAAACCCCTGTTGGTTGGTATTGGTTTTATAGAATGGCCCAATACACAATATCAAAAATGTACTTCAGAAAATTTCTACTTGCTACTTAACATAATTCAATAAGTGCTATGAAAATAGCTTTGTTAAATACATTATTTTATATATAATCATAATTAAAAAATAAAATATATTTGATACTTACCTAAATAACTCTGTTAATGGTGAAGTCAAAATGGCTAATGTTGTAAACAGATTATTACAATGGGTATGAATTTTAAAAATTTTATCATCTTTAGACTCATGAGGATTCACAAGGTTTTGTACAGATGTACAAATCGACCATAACATGTTCTCAGTGCAGATTAAAATTGTTGTCACATCAAGTCTATTGGAAAGAAAAAGAGGAAAATCATACTAAAATAAACTTTTGGCTTGGTATATATACTTTCCTTCATATCTCTAGTACTAAGCATATGTAAGAATAAAAAGTTTTGGTTAGATGTCAGAGCTTCAGATCAAAAACAAAAAGCATCAAAGATACTTTTTTTGAGTTTCTGGTGTTATACGTCCCATAATACCATCATGTTAGGGATAGTTAAGGTCTATAATAGTATTCTAGGAATGCTTTTCATAAAACATTTGCTTTGCATTATCAAGATTTTATTCCAGAAGCTCAAGAGACTGTCCTTTAAATTACACTGAGCAAAAGAGAAGCTAGCTGAAAAGAAAAACTTGCTATTATCCATACATACATAGTAGGTGAAAATTAGATAGCAGAACAATTCTCTCCATCCATGTCTAAGCTGTCAAAAGGCTATAATATGTGGAGTAACATGTACTCCCAGCAAGTGCGAGATAAGAAGAAATAACAACAGAAACACAAATGAAGATGCTCATCCTTTCAGAAATTTCTAGTGTTAATAAATTTGTGGAGAATGTGCTCTATCATTTATTTTATTTATAAAACTATTTATTTGTTTCCATATTCACAAAGTTTTTAAATTTAAAAAATGTTTAATGTATTTATTTTAATTGACAGAATAATTACACATATTTATGGTGTACAGTGTGACATTTCTACACATGAATACAACGTGCAATAATCAGATCAGGGTAATTGGCATATCTATCACCTTAAGACATATATCATTTCTTTGTTTTCAGAAGCATTCAAAATCTTCCTAGCTATTTTGAAATAGTCAATTAATTGTTATAGTAGTCAACCATGGTTATCACAATGTGCCAGAGACCTTTAGAAGTTATTCCTCCTATCCTATTGCATGCCATGTCTCTTAATTGTCCTCTTACCATCCCTTCCTCCCCTTTCTGGTGTTTTAGTAGAAATGCAGACAAATATTTAAAGGCATTTATTTTTAAAGTATATGACTAAGTTGAACAGACCTCAGCTAATATACTTTTTTTGCTTTTAAATTAAGAGTTGAAGCAATACAAAATGGAAATTTTTTAAAGGATAACAAAAATATGTTTACAGATTTTTAAAAATTATACTTAGGCCAAAAATGTATTATATATAATCAATTTTCTATGTTAATACACATGATTTTGGTTATATGACATACGTACACTATTGGAATACTAAACACATCAATAATAACTTTTAAGAAGGTGTAATTGTAGTTGATATTAACTTTCCCTAAATGCTAAATTAAGTCACTAATACATGATACACATGTACATCACATAATCTGATTTCCATAATAATGATGGTTTAGGATTAACCATTCAAATAAAAATAAATTTTTTACTTATCAAAACTAGAAACAATAAATCTAGCTTTACATAGCATTTTTATTCAACCATCCAGAAAATAAAAACCAAATTCTCTATGGTACAGTTAATTAATTAAATATACTACCTGTTTGATGAGCTAACAGTAAATCTCATTTTACAAATATCTCATAATGACTTGCCACCTCATAGTCAAATGTGCTTCATACTAAAAAAGAAAAAGAATGAAGGAATACTTTGCTCTCAAAAGGAATTTACCAACTATTCAGAGTTCAATTTTTTAAACACTTGGCCTATAATTCAAAACAGCCTGTTCAAAATACAGTGTTTATGAAACACTGTAGCAGGACCTAAATGCCCTTAAGATTGCCATATACTTTACAATAACATGATCAGAAATAATTCTCCTGCCAAAATAAATAAATAAATAAATAAAAGCTTCTGATGTATATAGGTTTCTTCTAAAATATTCCTGGAAAAAAATTCTATGTAAACAACAGGTCTTAGACAAAGTATTTATAAAACAAAAGTCTCTGTTCATGTAAATCATTGTTGTTACATAAGGCCATTTGTATAATATTCATTGCCTAGATAACTCAAAGAATTGTGCTATATTTCAGTCTTCAATTTAAAGCCTGGTGACTGGTGCTCCTCATTTTCTGGGATTCTATATTTTCTTGAACTGGCTTTTAATAATACATAGTGAAGAGAAAAGAAAAAATAAAGGAAAAGAGGAATGAGGGAATTGAAATATATTAAGAAGAAAAATTACTAGACAATGCAGATAATGAAGACAAACTTCTATATATAAAGGTTTAAAAAAGACCACCACTAAAATCTCTTGATTGCCTAGAAGCTCAAAGTCAAATTAACTGCTCCATCACAGCTTGGCTGCTTTTTTATCTATTTCAGAACCTTAATTTTCTCTTTATCTTATTAACTTTTGTGTGTATGTGTGTGTGTGTGTGTGTATACATAAATATATGTATGTATACATATACATACCTATATATGTCCTAGATTACAAGACATCTTGAATAATTTCTTAGAAACAAATGGGTTTTATAGGCAAGTTTAAGAGGAAATAAGAGCAAAGTTACTTCTATTTGAGTTCCACATTTCCACTTAAATACCCCAGAAGAACTGAAAACAATTTCCTTTCAGATGTTAGGAACATGTTAAATATACAAGGTGTTGTGTGTGTCATGAGATTCAGAAATATATTCTGCATTACACTGACTCAAAAGTTTTCTTGGAAAGCAGTAGTTTTCAGAACTTCAATTACCTTATCTGTGGAGTTCTCTTATAACTGGGATGGGCCCGAGCATATCTGGAGGCCAGCAAACTCAACGATTTCTCTAGCACTTCTGCCAGAATCTCCTGGGCTATCTTAGGGGGCAGAATGGTCCAGAGATCATGATGAAGAGCCCAGCAGAAATAATGCCACATCTGGAGTGAGAAGGAGCATCTTTCCCCCTGGCAAAATCAGCACACATTAAACAATAGAATAACATCTTCCAAAATGTCAGTTTGCTTCCTATGAACCTAATTAGTTCAGGCTGAAAGGAAATAGCTGGAGAGACTGACACACTAGATGACCAGGAAAGATTTTTGACTAGATGTTAAACATCCTTATTGACAAAGGAACATATGTTTTATTTCAATTACAAGACCAGATATCCTAGTGCAAATCCAGACCATAAGCATTTAACCTAGCATATCCTTGATTTACTTACTCCCGGCCTAGGGTTTAAAATTTACTTTGAAACAGTTTTTGTAGTTGCTAAACAAGTTATGCTAGGTAGTTTAAGATAATAGACTGATTCTTCTAAAATTGAAATCTATTTAAATTGTTAATGAAGGTATTTTTTCTGAAACTATTGGCATCATTGAGTTAATTTTATAAATCAGATTTCATATTGTAAGAAATGACAGGAATAAAATAAATGTGCACACTATAATCTTATCAATATTCATGAAACAAAGTGGGATGTATAACTACTAAAGATTATTACATTGGGCTATTTCACCTATGGCATTTTAATAATAGTACTATACTAGCAATGGATACCACAGAGGTCTAATTTTATAAGATTTTGAAAATCCTAGATACATAGTTTCACCATTTCTTAGCATTTTTATGGCATTTTATACTTCCAAGGGACCAGATTCTCATTCTTTTCTATCCCTCTACAGATTTCCTTTGTGCACTTACTTTTCCCTGAGTGCTGAGGGAGACCCAACAGTGGCCTAGGCAAAAAGGAACAAGCAGAAAGGAGAAGGTAGCCTCAAGTGATTTGCAAGTATTAATTAGGTATCATGCTCTGGGGGAGGTTTGTAGTTGTTGACCTCATTTTCTTCAAATCAGATCAAAAGATTATTTGAAATAAGAAAGAGTAGAAAGCATTCTTCAAACATTATCCTTATTATGTTAATATATCAAAACTTAAAACTGGTAAAATTTCCTATTTTAGCTTTAAGTAATTTTCTTTGCCATAAAATTTGTGCTTTGCCCAGTATATTTAAAAACAACAACAAAAAAGTCATCTAAAAATAGCTGTTGTTCTCTTATACCAAAAATTGATGGTTTCCTAAGCAGATACGTCTTTAAGTATTATTAGACTCTTCTTCTGGTAGTCTCTTTGGTTATTAAAATCTTCTGCAGTCATTGTGAATAATAATTTATAGTTATTATATATTGACTTTTAAATGGCTTTTATAAATAAATAGAATTGTTTTTCCTTAGGAAGGTAACTTGGGCATCAAACTGTCAAGAGTCAAGTTCAAACCAAAGGGGATTTAGACTACTGGTTCTGACTTCCTAATGAGACATACATCTAAACTGCTTAAGAAAAAAAAAAAAACATATGTATATAATTAATATTGAGGCAGCAAAATTAACAGTTTCATATGTTTTATTTGTGATATGTCCTATAATAAAGAATTCTTTTTAAAATAAGGAGTTAAAACTTGATTCCTTTAAACTTTTTTGTGTTGCACATAAATGAAAACAAAACTAAGCCCAGCTGATGTAGTGACTAGCATGAACAATTATACTAACTTTCCCTTTGGCAATGAATGACTGATTAAAATGTGATCAACAGTATTTTTCATAATTTTCAGAATATGAAAAACCAATTTCCTTAATGCCTTCCTTTTAGCAATAAATGGGAAAATAAAGATAACTTGGGCACACAGATATCTTCTTGTAAAGTGAAGAAGTACTTGCTCATTTTTAATACTTTTCGAAATTTAATGTTTACTTAAAAATATTCAAACTGGTCTTTGTTTCAACAATTCTTTTTAAAATGCATACAACTTCAATTAAACTAAATGTGATTCATTTATTTTTTCTGACCTGTTTCCCCATTTGTTGTCATTTCAAAAGTATTCTGCTAGTAAACATCTGTTATTTTTGCAGACCCACTATAATGTAAACAGATGTGGGCTTTTATTTAGATTATATACCAGGAAACAAGCAGCTGGGCTTTATTATAGAAGCCATGCAATATTATGTTTGAACAGACAATTCTTTATTCTTTGACTATTGGAAAACACAAGTTTCTGAAATTGAGCAGACGTCAACTCTACTAAAAGCTTAATTTTGAACATGTAATCTGAACACCCACTGTGCCATCTGACCAGCACCTCATCAAAGAGATATCTAACTCTTTGAATTTCACAACCTGACAGTTTAGAAAATGGAAATAACAGATCTAGTGCTCACTTGTTATCACAAAACATGAGTGAATATTGCTCCGTATCTTTTACTATTTCTCTACTACATTCTGCACATGGTGATAAGTTCTTCCAAGATTTCTATCCTATCCTTCGCCTGCAGCCAGGCCGCACCATCTCCTTTCCTCTCAACACAGGCCTGCCCAAAACAAGCTAGTTCTTTTTCACAAATCAGCTGGAGTAACAGGGAGAGGAGGAGAAAGGGGTGCAGCCAGCGAGATAAAACCATGTCAGGTACACCACATGTCAAAACAGTTTAAATTTGTGCTATTTTTAGAAGGATCTTAGCTTTGGTAAATAGAAAAGTGGTATCACTTTATTTTTCTGAGAAAAAAATAACAACCACTAACTCTGCAATTAAATTGTAACTACTGACCATGTAAGTATATGGAAGCTACAGTACCATGTAATCACAGGGTAACTATCTCATTACTTCTGTCTTTGAGGCTAACGCCTTGTCATAAGACCTAAGAGCAGTGTTTTACATGGTAATTTGGTTGTTTCTTTTTTTTTTTTTTAAATACTTGGTAACTTCAATAACAGCTTGTCAATGCATCCACTTATTATTTACACTGTACGACTATTCTAGTTCCAATTTGTATAAGAGAAAACAAAATACCCCTGTATTGAACATATACTGAGATGATAACTGTTCTTCTCCAAATATCATATAAAATTGTCATTAGTATCCTGACATGTTGAAATAGTTTGAAACATGAGATGGATTCATTTTCAACCTCTCTGTTTACCTCAAGGCAAATAAGGAGGCTGTGAGCTGCCAGGAGAGGGGAAGACCAATACATTCATTCTTATCTCAGGCTACCAGCTGTACCATACCACTTTTTTCCCTCATTCTGCTCACTGCTACCACTACTTTTTGAAGTATGTCAGGATTGGAAAACCCTATATGGATGCTCTTGCAAAGAGAAAAACTATCTGGGAAGGGCCTCTAAAGAAGAGATAAAATGGCCTTAGAAAAAGTGGAAAGTCCTTTAATAGAGCTTCTTATTAGCTGTTCCTCTGAATTGTAGCAACATTTATGATGGTAACTCAGGCATAAATGGAGCCACAGGAACCTGCAGTGCCAGGGAGGTGACAAGAGTGACAGTTGAACAAAGCTCCACTCTGTTTTTCTAATACCCTATAGTGGCTAGAACAATCAGGAAAAACAAAAACCATAAACTTTGATTGAAAAATTGACAAAAAGTTGAAATGGAAAAGCTCATGAAGTTGAATTTGGCTATTGAAATTTTTTTTTAAATCACAATGATCTTTTATTAAGGTAGTATAAATGTTTTACCCTTCCCTAAAATCCATTTCAAAGAATTTCAAATATTGTGATCTGTGTATAATATGTGGGGTCTAAGGGATGATAAACTAATAAAGCTTGAAGATGAATAATTTTAATTGATCCTCGGTTTGGTTGCACTGGGAATCATTAGGCTTTAATTTGCTAGAAAGTTAAGGTTTCAAAACATGGCTAAATGAAAATAGGTAAGTTATAAATGATCAGATGGGTCTTAAAGTGCACTCATAAGAACAATGAGAAGGGAAAAATAAGTATAAAAATAAAGGTCCTTAATAAAAAATATTTATCAAACACAGATGGAAATACATAACAAGAAAAAACGCAAGGATACCCATAACTGGTTCCTTTGGAGAAAATATGTTATAGCTTTTTGCTGTGTGTTATCTTTTTGAGTTTTCATTGTATCTCATTATATTACACCTTATATAGCACTGCAACATTGCAGCTCAAATTAAGTTATTTTTACTTTTAAGCAGAAGGAGAGTTCTGATGTCTAATTTATTTCAGGTTTTTAAAAACAGTGTTTTTCCTAAATACAAATTCAATATTTAAAAAATATTATCCTAACAGCCTTCATGTGTTAGTAATGCCAACCTCATGTTTCTAATTAGCCAGAAAGCAGGTAGGCAGTAAAACATATTTGTGTAAAAAGGAAGGGATAGTAAACTTAACTTCACACCTCATAAAAAGCTTTGTAGTCATCCCAGTGGTGGCTCTCAGCATCCTGTAAAATGCTTGTAGCACAAACTCTGACGCAGTAGTCCGTAACCTGAAACTGTAGAGTGTTGATGAATTCCTGATATCGTTGGACAGGCACCAGGAATATGGGTCTGTTCAGAGGGAATGATCAAAGAGGCAGAGATTTAAGGCCTGTGCAGTAGGAGGCAACAATCTCCAGTACTACAAGTGGTTTTGATTATTAGATATCAATCATTCATTTCCTCCTAATGCTGAAGTAAGTCTGTATCCACATTCACTTTCCAAAAAGAAAAGGAAAAAAAAAAAAAGCTTGTCTTTGTTTTGCAAGTCCTTTGAAAATGTACATCTGTTGTTCTACAAATATGCACTTCAACTTGATATAAACTGCACTGTCAATACATCATTCAAAACTAAAAATATTCTTTGTAAGCCTATTATTAGAGATCAGTGTATTATTTAGGCATTAGGTTATCGTTACTACTAGAGAACAACATACACTTGTCAGAACCAACTTTTATAAAGCTATCACATATTCCACAAAAACACTCTTTTTATTTTTTAAAAATTGCAATTTTGTAGACATCAATTATCTCATAAACTGTTTAAAAATATCCCACAGAAATGAAGTGTTTCTGGCATATTTTGTTTATAAATTCAAGTATGAATTGCAACATCTGACTACTTATGAGAATTAAAGAAATATCTTTTATCTTCAGCTATTAAGAGTACACTGCTTTCTTTCATAACTGTAAGACTGTGAAGGCTAAATAAAAAATGCCAAATAGATTCTTGGGGTGACACTGGACTGGTGAGTTCATATATTCCCTTCACAAGGCACCAGGTTAAGTTCTGTATGATACAAATGTAACCAGAAAGACTATGTGATAATACCTGTAATCATTTTTATCTCTATATGGAAAACATCATATCTTAGACTACTAATACAAGAGAATCAACATTGGTAGTTGTTTCATCTTCAAATACTATGGGTAGTTTATTACTAAATAGATGTCCTGCAATATGTTTGCATTGGTCACTAGAATAGATTAAGATTGGGGTCTGGATATAGCTCACTTGGTAGAGTGCTTTTCTTGCATGCACAAGGCTCTGGGTTCAATCCCCAGCAACACACACACACACACACACACACACACACAGAATAAATTAAGAAGCATTTGTTTTCTACATCATCTCCTAACAGCTTATTGGCTTAAAGACAAAAATGATAAGTGAATATTTTACAAATAAATACAAACATGGGATAAAAACAAGCTTGTTTTCCATTTTCAGTGTGGTCCGTATAAGGTGCCTTACAAAATGGAAGAGGTACATTTAATCATGTCATAACAATGTTCAGAAAATAGTTGCTCTTTTTAGTATGTCTGAATAGAGTGGAACTTTCTTACTGTCTATGTACCTAGTTTAATACCTCTCATGGTTCACCTTTTTGACATTTCCTAGTCAAGAAAAATGAAAACAATTCTCCTTGTCGATTATTATTTTCTCTTCAAATATCATCCTTAAAATTTCATTCCTGTGATATCTAAAGTTTACACGTTTCTTTAAGCATAGCCATTAGCTTAATTTGACACTCACTTCTTAGTGGTTTCTTTCATCAAATTATTGCAGTGTGTGAAATGCTGGAAGATGTACACCGCTGTGGAGAGGAGTATGTGCAGGTTTTTCAGGGGTGCTTTGGAAGGAACATCCTTGCCTCTCTCTTGTAGTCTTGCCAGGACAGCTGTTGCCACTTTGCAACAGGCCTCTACCAAGTTTGCTCTAATTTCCTGAAAAGAATCATCTCTGCATGCCAGAGCCAGTGGAAGCATGGTGTCAAGTTTTTCCATGATGTCAGAACAAAACTAGGGAGAAATAAATGTGGCGCTGAGTTATTTGTATTCTGACAGCACCGTGTAATTTATGTATAGTGGAGCCAAACTCCTAAGTAATGAATTTGGCATCAAACATAAATATAATGGACACAGCTTTACAATAATCAATTTCTTAGTTGTAGAAAGTTAAATGTTTCATGTCAAATAAAGAAATACCAAAATGATGCCTCTCTATCTATAACCTTCAAACATTATGCTTACCAGACAGACATTATGAAAAACTCAAGAATAGCTTTACTTGACAATACCTTTGTTTGGAGTAAATAGAAGTCAGAAAATATGTATCCTTAATATTAATGCTTACATTATTTTTTAACTTACCCAAATTTTCTTTCTCTAAATTTCTATAGGATGATCTTATTAAAAATCACATATAAATATCAGTTTAATTTAAATAATCTAAAAGAAACAGAAGCTATCCCATGTTGCATCTTCTTATAGCTAAAGAGTCAGCAACTTTCAGAAGTGATGTCTGGCTTTTCACCAAATATTATGTATATACTTAATGGAACAGGAAGATATGGTGGGAGGGAAGGCAAAGCTTACCTCCACATAAAATCAGCCAATAAAACTCCTTAGGGAATGTTCTGGAGCTTCAAGGTGACAGTAGCATAATGAAACCCTAATCAAGGACTCTTAAAAATATCACAACATAGGCTTCTGAACTCACTGTGGACCTTATAATGAATAACTGTATTTATCTACTTCCTATTTTCACAGATAGTTCAATGACTTTCAAAGCACTGATAAAGAAGTAAGTCTGATGCTAATGATATAGAATGCTAAGTAAGGTATAAAGAAAGAGTTTAAAATTGCCCCAAACCAAGCACAGAGAGATAATATCTCCTTTAAATTCCTAAATTTCTCCTGGAGTCCTTCAAAGGTCTAACCAAAACAGGAAGTTATTCCAGTTCCCCCTGGTGTCACAGAGGCCCTGTTAGGTTGCCTCAGATCAAGGGAGCAAACAGCTATCAAGAGGTATAAGTGGTTTTGGTAGTAGTGTCCCCTAGACAGCAGGGAAGACAACTCGTATTGGGTCAAACACCAAAGGATTGCCAAGAGATGCCACCGTTTGATCTAGTTTCCTTTTGCAATACCTTATATTAAAAGAGAAAGAAACAAGAAAAGAAACTCCATTATACCTGTCAGCAGTTTGAAAGGAATTCATTTGATACTTACCTTTGCAATTTTCTTTGGTTGTTCCTCCTCAGGAAACATGTGGCTATCTTGCCAAATTTGCTGGACAGTTACAAGGTTCATATCATAGCTCACAGCTGAAGACTTTTCATTCTGTTCCTGTTGGAGAATTTTTGTGGAAAAATTTTCAACTGCAGTTGTTATGCAATGTGCCATGGGTAGAGATACTTCTTTAAATGCATTCCTCCAGCCAAAATCTAGTAAAGTGACCTGAAATATAAATTGATTTACAGTCATATTAATCTTAACTTAGAAACAAATATTTCTATTGCTATAGATATAAAATTATGACTTGCATTCAACATATTGAATATAGGTATTCTTTGATATACTGCAAAAGCCATTCTTACAACCTGAAAAATATTACCTAGTGAATCTAGTAATATACAAAAACCATGTGCATTCTTTACACACAGTAATATACTGTTAACTGTTATTTCATTTTAATTCATCAGTGGGTTTAATCAAAATCTTTTTTCAAAATTTAATCTCTTAAATATAGTTCAATAAAACCATCTTTACGAGAGCTGAAAGCTACACTTACAATTTATCATATAAAACAACCTTTAAATTCAATATATTTAATAAAGTTTAATTAGATTTTTACAGTCTTTTTATAGTTTATTGTTAACAAGTATTGCAACATACAACAGCATTTAATATTCAATCTTTGATTTCTTTTTTAATCTCAGAAATCCAGACAAGCCAAAAAAATAGCAATAAGAAATAAATTTATCAGAGAAAAACCACCACTGCACCTTTCCGAATTTTCACTTGCTTAGAATTTTATTTAGTCTCTCTAATTTTATTTAGTGATAGGCACTGCTACATTTATTCCAGGAAATGAAGAATTAAAATTATCTGCATTGTTCTGTGTGGGGGAGGAGCAGAGCGGGGGTCGGGGACTGTAATGTTGTCTTTTTAACTTTTGGTCTGTGTCTCCTATGGCAATATATTTATGAATATATATTTCCCCACAAGTTCCCTAATACTCCCTAAAATACTAACAGCATTATGACTAGCAGGCTGAACCTGTGCTTAGAACTAAACTCTCCTTATTTTGTTTATGGTAGCATATTATCTACTCCAACTTTAGGAGACCCTGGGCTCTATATCCCTGACTGAACTACTTATTTTTCTTGATCTCAGGTTCTTTGTTCGAAAAATAAAAGAGTTGAATTTGATTATTTCTATGGTCTCTTTCAGTCTAAAATTACTGAGATTATGATTATTAGCCTAACTTTCTTATGTATGCCCCATTCAGCATTAATGTAATGCTTTTATATATACAGTACAAAATAATAAAGGTGATTTCTTTTCTAGAGCTATAATTCTATGATTCCATGTCTATAATCAGAAAATGGGGCTCTTATTCTCACTATACTTATTATGTAACTGAACTTGTCTGTCTAAATTTTATTTGGATCTTTAACATCATAGGCCTGAAGCATGTCTCTCTAATAATTGCATAAAATTAATCAACTATTAAGTTCTATCTACTAAGTTTTTAGAATCTCCTTTCTTACAAGTAAAGTTTCAGAAGTGAAATGGCTATATCCCTCTGCCATAACAGTAATTCCTTGGAATACATTTAAGATAAAAATGTAAAAAGGAACTGATCTCCATGAAAATGAAAACAAACAACTAAAGCTATAATTTTTGTTTCCCCAGTAGGGCATATATATTCACTGAAATCATTCATTAATTCATCTAAGGAAATATGTTCCACTAAAAGTGGCCATTAATTATTGTTGCTATAATGACATTTTCCCCCCATTTTTTTAGATGCAGTGATGATTATCTTTTCCCATGATTATTTGTATATGACTATACTGTCGGTCCATCTAAATTTTCTTTACAAAATTTAGGGGGAAAAAAGCACATTAGTAGTCACTATTTTAAAAAAAATCTGAAACCTTTAATTACTGAAGCTTTCTAAAAGTCTACTTGTTTTCTTGGAAGATCATTTTTTATCTCTATTCTTCTCATATGGTATTTGGCATCACACAAATTCTAGTGAGAACAGAAACATTTAACAGTTGATCCAGGGGGAGAAAAAGATCATGTGGCATCCTGTTCTGTGTACAAATTAGTTATGTGCCAAATCCCTATTTTAAATTACCTAATACTAATTTCTTAGTACTAATTTTGACTTTTGGTTAAGGCACAATGTATAACTTTGAATTGTCCCTTGCCTTCTAGATTGACATTGTTAAAAAAATTCATCCTTTGCTTTATGAAATATTTACCTTGTATATTAGTCAGGATTCATCGAGAAAACAGAAAACACTCAAGGTATTTCAAAAGGAAGAATTTAATGTAGGGTATTGATTACCTAGAAGATGGAAGATCTGACTAGCCAAACATGGGCTGTAAAGCACAACAGATATTAATATATGAGGAAGCCACAACCAACCCTAGGATTGGAGGAGCAAAGAAAGGGGATAGTGCTATGGTAAACTAGATCCTGGGCTCCCAGTGGAAGCTAAACCCAAGGCAGACCTGCTTTGTGGAACCTGAATCATGCAGGGAGGGCTGCTTGGTAGGAGTAGGGTCAAGGGAAGAGCTAAAGGAGTCACAGCCACTGCCAGAGGTTGAGGGGGCGGGGAGGCAGGAACTGGTTTTCTGCAAATACTACATTCCAATCTTCTATGGATGCCTTTAATTGGCCAAACATTCCCTTTGCTTTCTAAGTTCCAGAAAGCAAAGGATCCTGGCAGATGTAATTCTCCAATAAGCAGAGCAGAAGAAGAATAGTAATGGATATTGAGAATAAACAAGCAAAGGTTGGGTACATAAACATAGGTGATCAGATCAAACTATTATTTCCTTTCTTTTTTAAATCTCCACTTTCTCATGTTTCAACAATTATTTACAACCTATATTCTCAAAATGCAGACCTTGAGTCAGAATAGGGAACAAAGATCTCTTAACTTCTATCTCTCAACTCCTCGTATGGAACAGATTGCGCAAAAGAACAGTGGCCCTACTAAATTAATTTTTGTCAAAAACTTACAAGTCAGCTTTCAATCAGAAATTCCTTTCTAGTGGCAAAAAGGAAAATTCAAGAAATTTTGATTCATAATGGAATCACAGACATAGGATGATAATATTATGTATGACTAAAGTTTCTTACCTCTTTTCCTGGTAGCAATTGCTCTAAAGGAATACTGGTTTTATGTGCTTTAGGTTTTTCTATTACAATTTCTTTATTGGATTTCTCCACAATTCCTAAGCAATAGGAAAGAAAACAGACATAAAAGCAAACATTTGAGAAGAACATCCAGGAGTCGTGGCATATGTGAGCAGGGAGGCAGAGGCCAGAGGATCCGAAGTTTGATGTCAGCTTCAGCAATGTAGTAAGACCTTGTCTCAAAAAAAAAAAAAAAAAAAGAGTGGTGGGCAAGGGTATAGCGCAGTGGTGAAGCACTCCTGGGTTAAATCCCTGCTACCAAAAAAAAAAAAAAAATACTAGATGTAATTAACAGATTCAAATGAAAATTAATTATGTTGAAAAACTTTATCCATCACAGATACATACACATTAAACAAACATACATATCAATATACAGGGAATAAGTCAACAAGATACCACAGTTATAATAATGAAAGGGTTAAGATAGAGCCCTTTTTCATATATGAGTTGAAGAAATGTATATGCTAGTTATATTTATATTTGATACATATACATATATGTCATCTATTTGATACATATAAAGTCTCAAAAAAAAGATGTCACTAATTCACCTCATGTTGACAACACAGGATACGTTAAGAGTGGAAAATAAACTTAATTTCATTGTTCACTTAAAAAGTTAAATTCTAAAAAAAATTAAAATAAAAAGTTAAGTTTGGGGGCTAGGGTTGTAGCTCAGTGGTAGAGCACTTGCCTAGCACATGTGAGGCACTGGATTTAATTCTCAGCATTGGAATTAAACAAACAAATAAATAAATAAAAATAAAGGCCCACAGACAACTAAAAATATTTTTTAAATAAGTTAAATTCTAAGGTACAACATCTAAAAACTGGGAGGTATGCCAGGCAAGATGGCCCACACCTGTAATCCCAGATACCCAAGAGGCTGAGAGAGGAGAATGGTAAATTAGATGCCAGCCTTGGCAATTTAGCAACACCCTTTCTAAAATAAAAATTAAATTAAAAAGGGCTGGTGTTGTAACAGCGTAAAGTGTTTCTAGGTTCAATTCTCAGTACTGAAACAAAAGAAAATAGAACAGAAAAAGGGGCGGTGTTTTGTATCATGCTAACGCAAAACAAAGAACAAAAATATACAGATCAACATCAACTTCTCAAAAAAATACCTCCTTGAAAACTACATAAATGATTAATTTGAAAAGCTCAAACACTGGAGAAGACAAAATAATCCTTAGTTCCTAAAATGGAAATATTTCCTTAACTCTTAGTTTTTATAATTAAGGAAATATTTTCTATGGGGAAAAAATAGACCTACAAAAATGTAATGAATAAACACTCCAAAAAGAAATCTTTCCATTTTTTTCCACTAAGGTTACATTAATGATATTTTGATTCAATATGAATAATTTAATATTCTTTTTTGCTTAGACTTAGCACATAATGATAAATTATATGCTATGATAAAATTTTTCTTTTCTTTTTTCTAATTTACCAGGAATTTTAAGAATCAGTTTCTTCATATTCCCTGGACAAAGCAAATTTCAAAATTTAGCTTATTTTGTTGATGGGGTTGTGACCAATAGAGTCATCTTGTAGATGAGTGTTTTCTCCCCAAATGTGGTTTTATGAACATACTTGTGAATGATATCTAAGGAGTACAATTCACTGCAGATCTAACTCAATGGTTGAGCATTTGCCTAAGCATGCGAAACTCCAGGTTCATTTCCCAGCCCTGGGTTGGGGGGTGGGGGAAGAGAGAGAGGGGAAGGAAGGAAAAAAGGGGGAATCCAATTCACAGAAATAAAACCATTTTGTTCTGATATTAAAGTTAGTTTCAATATTCTTGTACATAGGGTGCACTAAAGGTAAATATTCCATTTGGTAGGCAATAAGAGCACTGCTATGGTTTGGAAAAGAGTTCCCCAAAGGCCCATATGTTAAAGGCTTGGACTCTAATAACCTGTGGTGCCATTGGGAGGTGATGAAATCTTTAAGAGGTGAGACCTAGTGGAAGAAAGTAGGTGAGTTGGAGTGTACCCTTGAAGGGGCTATTAGGACCCCAGCCTCTTACTTTTTCTGTTTGCTTCCCAGCTGCTATGAGGTGAGCAGCCTCCTCCACCACATACTCCCCACAGTGATGGACTTGTGCTGCCACAGGCCTAAAGGCAAAAGGACCATGTCACCACAGACTGAAACCTCTGTGAGCCAAAATAAACCTGTCCTCCTTATAACTTGATTACTTCGGTATTTTATTTTAGTGATACAAAGCTGCCTAACACAATCAACTTTTAAGGGAATTTTAAGAGAGCTTATCTATTCTAAGGAAAAGTTTTCCCCAATTCTAATATGTCTTAATTGCTTTTGGATTTGTAAATACTTCTGAGAATTTATTTAAAGTTACAGAACACTCCATACAAAGATACACAATATGACTAAATGGCAGGTAATTGTGTGCATGTGCACCCATGCAAGCGTGTGAACACATGCACACTCACACCCCTTTGGGACTCTCAGGTCCTCTTACAAAGCTTATTCATGAACTGCAGTTTAAGAATCCATTTCCCAAGATACATCAGAGCATAGAGAAGGTTTTAGACTCAAGGAGTATTATACAATTTAACCTAAAATGCTTTTACTTTTTTTCCTTTTTATTGGTTCTTTTTAGTTATACATGTCAGTAGAATCCATTTTGAAATAATTATACAAGAATGGACTATATCGTGTTCTAATTCAGACCCCAGTATCTCTCCTAAAATTCTTTGTCTTATAGTTATTATTTTATAATTTCTTTTTAGGAATATGGTGAAATAAATAAGATCAATTCTAACATTGAACCAAAAATCCAGATTACTCACAGATTTTTAAAGAAAGAAAAATAAAAATATAGGCAAATTTTTAAAAATATGGAATATTTTTCAAAAGAGTCATGTAGAGAAAGCTTAGGACACAAACAGCAAAAGCCATAAAAATTCTGCAGTACAAAAATATCATTAAAAGTCAAAATAGATATAATAAACTGACTTGGCAATTGTCCTCAAAATGTTCATTTAAAAATAGGCTTTATTTTTTAGATAAATTTCAGACTTATAGAAATATTGAAAAGAATGTACAAGAAGTTTTCACATACTTCCTCCCTCTGCTCAGTTTCTCTTATTGTTAACATCTGGCAATGATGTAGTATATTTGTTACAACTAAGCCAATAAAACCAATACTGAAATATCATTATTAACTGAACTTCAAAGTTTACATTAGTACTTACTCTTTGTGTTGTGCAATTCTATGGGTCTTGCCAAACAAACAGTGTCACATAGCCACCATTACTATACCATATGGAATAATTTCACTGCTCTAAGAATACCCTCTGCATCACCTATGTATCTCTTCTCTCTTTTACCCCTGGCACATAATTTACACTCTACCACCTCCTTTCTACCCCTTTGACTTTCTACCCCCCTGTTTCTATAGTTTTGCTTTTTCCATAATGTCATATAGTTTGAATCATACAGCATACAGCCTTTTTAGATTGCTTCTTTAATTTAATAATATACATTTAAGTTTTATACATGTCTTATCATGGATTGACATCTTATTTCTTTTTATTGATTAATAATATTCCATTGTATTGACATACCACAGTTTTTTATCCATTTACCTATTGAAGAATATCTTAGTTGCTTCCAAGTTTGGGCAATTATGAATAAAACCGTTATAAACATTTCTATGCAGGTTTTTGTGTGGACGCTAAGTTTTCATCTCGTTTGGATAAATAACTAAGAGTGCAATTGCTAGATCATATGGAAAGGCTATGTTTAGCTTTGTAAAATACTGCCAAATTATCTTACAAAGAGGCTTTACAATTTTGCATTTCTAACAGCAATGAATGAGAGTTCTTGTCACTCCACATCCTTGCCAGAATTTGGTGATGTTAGCATTTTGGATGTTAGCCATTCTATAGGTGTATAGTGGTATCATGTTTTAATTTGCATTTCCTTATTGACATGTGATGCTGAGTATCTTTTCATATGCTTATTTACTATCTTTATATCTTCTTTGTTAAGGTGTATATTAAGATATTTTATGCATTTTTAATTGTGTTGTCTGTTTTCTTGTTGGATTTTAAGAGTTCTTTGTATATTTTGAATACAAGTTCTTTTTCATATGCTTTATAATTCTTTTTTTAGTCTGTTGCTTATCTTTTCAACCTCTTTATGACCATACCTCTTTGCTTGACAATTCCACTTTAGAAATCTGCCCTTCAGATTTACTTCTGTACATGTAAGACAAAATTCAAGGAAATTTGCCTTATTATTTGTGGTAGTAAATGAAGGGAAAAAAACTCTATATATTCTTTAATGAAGAGCTCATTAAATTATGATACATGCACCTGTGGAAAACTATTCAGCTGTTAGAAAGAATTAGGTATTCTATACTTTCTGAGTTGTTAATAAAAGGACATTTGCATAGTATAACAAAATTTTGTCATTTAAACTTGGGGATATTTTTGGAAGTAGTCGTCTATGAAAAGGCAAACTGGACAAGCAAAGTGAAAAAAGACATAACTTCACCATTTACCCTTTGTCCTGTTTAAAAGTTTTACAATATGCATTTAGTTCTATTCAACAATAATTTTTAAATTAGAAAAAATAATAAAGATCATGTTGTTATTGACATGAAGGGACAACACTTGGATTCCTAATGTCACTTTACTTTTCTACAAATAGCTCATAAAACTAGTTTATTTAAAAGGTACTTATCAAGACTATACATTCAGGGATCATTTCTACAGTTAGTTACTAAAAGGTACTTAGCCTGAGAACATTGACACTAGTTTCAAGTATACACTTTGCAGATTTCTTTCTGGAAATAACTATCTGCCATCGTGTAGGTATAGTTTAAGTCTTAGGAAAAAAGACATGTATTTATCTTTTCGCTCCCAAATACATTATGTTTATTCACTAAATGTAATGTGCTCAGATGTTTATATAAACCATCTGCCTATTTTCAAGATGAGTAAGGAAAAAAGATAAGCTTTCCAAGACTTCTCTTCCCGGTGCACAAATTTAGAGAGAAAAAAGT